TAAATACTAGGCCTATATATCGATTCTACTAGACTTACCTGTTATTTGAAATTTAACACCTGTAGCTATCCATAAACGTTGTTTAAATACAGTGTCTTTATACATGATACTGATGTGGTCAAACGAATTCAATAAACTCCTCTATTTTTCCAGACCGTCACAATTGTAGGATAAACCCTCATTGCCGCCATTGTTAGAATAAAAACCACGTGTCTACTTTGACGTCACTGGAAAGACTTCTCTTTATTGGAGGAATTTTGGCGTAAAAATTTTTCGGCGTAAAAAGTAGAGACATGCTCTACTTTATTTTCAGTTCTGTTTCAGCCAAAATTTCAGAAAAATTTTTACGCTTTCTGTTTTATGCTAGATTTTACGCCGAATTTTACGCATATGTGTTCCTGGCCTAAGCCTATAAGTTTGACAATGGTATTTGGAATGTTGAGCATGATTCCACTGACTATCCAAACACCATTGTCAAACTTCTAGGCTTACAGGAAAGTGGTGCTGAACATCCAACGTACACGTTTTTGCGTTTAAAACTTCAGCCTCAACCTCGCTTATCATACTATGTCAGAAACATCTTTCAAATCTGTCAAATTTGCAACATATTGATAAACCACGCTATTTAGATGTTTCCAAAGCCAAAAATCACATGGATTAAGATTCAGAAAATGAGGTAGCTAGGCAATAGCAATAGCAAACATCCCTCTTATCAGTGAAATGTAGCAGATATCTGCCATATGCAACATCTGATATGTGGCACGTCCTCCACATATCAGATGATGCACCTTGCATAAAAGTTTTTAACCCGAGCTAATGTTACTGTTACAATGCTAGTTTGGATACTACAAGTGTTAAGAATCTCTGGGTGGTCAGAAGTCCATTGGAACTAGCTTCTTCAAAGAACAATGGTTCAAATATAAATGTAGCTGTGAATCTACATCAGTCAAGTGTAATGGAATCTGAAGGAAACATTGGGTTTTTTGTTACCTAAATGCAATAGCTACAGGTGTTCCTGTGCCCTCATTGTTCCATGGAATTTTCCTTGGCCACAAAACATCAACTTCCATTCTGGCAAGGAAGGTCAGTCAGGTTTTCCTGTTTGACAGAAGCAATTGTTGATTGTAGCTGATCTTACATGGATAACAATGTATCACCTTTCTCAATATCTTTCACACTACACCATAGGATACACTCAACTGTCATGATGCTGCATCTTGTAGAACAGTCAATGAATAATGTTACAACAGCTATGTGACATCTACAATGACTTGTGAAATGATATAGTAATTCAACCCAGTTGAGGGCACAAACCTATATCCAGTTTCCTTGAATTAAACAATCATTCTGATAGTTTGTGAAGTTGGTCATAAGTGTAAATTCTTATGATGGTGAAATTACTGAAGTGCAACTGTAGCTAATTGTAATGGCCATTGTAGCTAATAAGGGTGGCATTCAATGGTTGTTAAAACAATGGCCATCGCTTTGCCAGAAGAACACACATTTCTTATGAAGAAAATGGCTTCACAAGAATGGGGGTTCTGTCAAGTTGATAGCCATTGTAGCCAATAAGAGTGGCATTCAACAGTTGTTACTACTATTATATCCAGAACTTGGGTATTTTGCATTTGAAGCCAAAATACCATAATGGTGAATTTTGGTACTTTTTATCAAAATGTCTTGGGCAAGTCCTGAAATGTCATCATACAGATTTGTATAATTATGATCACTTTACTTAGCTATATAAATATGGTATTTTGCAATTTAGCAATAAGACAAAAAATTTGCAACAAAATATGAATTTTTTTGCAACAATGCAAACTGACAAAAATTTAATTAAAAAATAATAATGTGTTTTTAATTTATATTTTCACAAAGAATCTAATGTAATATAGAAAGAGATCAATTCGAGGCTATGATTGTTTGTTTGATCTTACTGTTATTGATAGTAATGACTTGAAAGAAAGCAGATGGGGTGTGCATATGTTTATATACTAGAATATTGAATCTGGTATTTTCATTAGCATATGATCCATATGTCTATATTAAATTGAATTTTTTCAGCTAATGTTTCTGTATATAACCTTAAATAATAATGATTTATTATTTTTATGAAAATTTTTAACATGAAAAATAAACTACATGACAACAACGCTATGGCATACCCTCTCTCAAACATCCCAAAAACAAACATTATCTAGCTCAGCTATTTGAAAGTTTCATTCTTATCAATAATGTGTAAATTATAGACTGATTTAATTATAATCAGTAACACATCACAGATCAAGTAGACTCAATAACTTCTTGTACTTTCATACATATCAGTAATTCAGTTACTTTGAATTGTGGCAAAAACACTTTAATTCCATTTTTTGATATATTACATATAAAGAAAAGATCACAATATCAAACAGGTGTTCTTTTATCAAAAGTACATGCAAGGGAGAACAACGATTAGAAATATATCATTTCGAGGCACCTATCTTGGTCCATTAAAAATAGTGATAATAAAATATTAGTGTTGCTTTCTTTATTTTGTTTGTCTAGTGGAAGACAAGTTATCACAGTTCTTACATTTAACTGTTCCTCAAAGAACTAGGTGTATTTTACATGGTCGACATTTCGTGCTTTCGTGAAGGATAAATAACAAACAGCAATAACTGAAAACCAGATATGATGCATCCAAGAAGATTTGGAATCTGTCAAAGTTCAATTATTATTTTAGTCATGTAATACAGCCAGACATTAACAGAATATATTAAACTTACTTGGATGAAGCTATCATGTAGTAATAATCCATAAATGAACCACAGTGAGGTTACAAAGAAGGAGAAAAGGATTAGTAAAAATGGCAAACTTTCAACAGTCTTAGTTCTTCGTACTTCCGCCTAAAAAAATAATTCTAATTTTAATTTTAATTCACTGAAATTTATTTTAAAGTGCAGCATTTATTATTTACCAAAGATGCCAGAGGCGAAGCGCAGAATATTAAACCCGCACAACAAGCAGTCAGTCCGGAGACTAGAGTTGCCGTTTCTTTATCCTCGATGACGGCATTCAAGTAACCATAATAGGCAACCAGAGCAATGCATATAGAAAATATTTGTCTATTTAATGTTACCTGAAAATAGACAATATTTTTCTATAGAGTACTTAAATTTTTATATAAAAATTATTAAGTAAAATGCCTTAATCTTAATAAATATACCAAAAACACTTTTAATTTTATATCATTATATTGAATTCTGAAAAGAGATTGAAAGTTTCATGTCATATATAATTCTTGTTAATTTTTACTTAATCTCTCATGTTCTGATTCATCTAATGTATTTAATTACTAATGAGTAAGTTGGAAAAATGAAATTGTATCTTGCAACTGCAAATTTAGTAAATTAAAAGTATTAAATTTGTGATATGGCATAGTTATAGGTCCAAGACAGACAATAATTATCCCCATCCTCAATATCTTCATCATTTGTCTTACATGTTATTTAGACAGAATCAAATACAATTCTTTTCATTATTGAATTTTGTAATATATGTTCTACGTTTAAATACTTTTGCAGATTGCAGATTTATGTACACAGGGTAATTCTCTTGTTAGGAAACCCTAATATTCCTCAATAACTTTTATTGCTTTTTATGGAGCCATTTTCAACATTGCTTTAGGGAGATCTTGCATTTACCTTATATTTTGTAAAACGTAATTTTCATAGGAAACTATAAATAAAAACAGTTATTGAGGAATGTTTGGATTTCAAGAGACTAACCCTGTATATATATATAATTATTATATACAGGGTAATTCTCTATATAATAATCATATATGTGTAGGAGGGTCATTTAATAAAAAAAATAACTACTATAACCTATCTCAAAAACTGTAAGAGATTTTTAGAAGAAATGAGCAATTATTTATTGTGACATCATCACAATGCTGGAATGCAATTTTTAATTTATTTAAATTTAAAATATGTTCTCCATCTCAAATTAGTACTGTAGTGTCTCGCCCCTGTACATCATACTTTTCTGTTAGATGACCGACATGACTCCATTGCTATCTAACTCTCTTCAGGGAAAATTTCTTAATTGAAATAATGTGACTTCCAGTTTGCATTGGAGGTTCATATATAGTTAACCGGTTGTGCTACATGTGGTATCGGTGTTGTACTACCTTGTACAGCAATAAAAATATTGAATTGAATAGTTAATTGGGGTCTCCTACCCCTAAGGTTTCCATATCTGGTCTCATCTTTCATTTATCTAACTCCATTCTCAAGATTAAGGAAGAAAAGACAGAAAGATGACAGTGGGAATTTATAGGTCTACAATTTTTCAAATTGCAGCCCAAAAACAAATGTGTAAACTAAATTGTATTACAAAATTTTTAAGACAAATTCAAAACTGAACCATGCAATAGTAATGTCATCAATTGATGCATTTTGTGAGAACCATCTGGATTTTGTGATAATGTCATCTCATTGGAGCAGTGAAGCTTCATAATAAATGTTTAACAGCAGTTTTTAATTCCAAAAGAGTATCATCAGGAACTAGAATCTGAAGATTATAATGCTCTCCCATATCAAATCATTGCACTGTGTTGAAAGTACTCTCAGAGTGGAAGATATCAAACAGCAAACAAACAACATAGAAGTTATCCACTAACAAAAATGAACAATTTGTTAATTGCAGCCATTGTGCATTGCATTGCGATTGATTGGCGACAAAACTCAGTTAAGATTCATCTCTACTGTTTGCTCTCAATGGATTTATGTCTTAATGATATGTAGGAATGGAGACTTGCCACAATCATTTGGAATGTTACAATAATGAAGGAGATGATTTTCTACACCGAATTGTTATGAGATGAAACCTAGTCATGTGCTTACAAACCAGAATTGAAATGGCAATCCAGAGAATGGAGTGATCCACATAACCAATACCAACAAAAGTTTGCCAAAATCCTTCACATGTGATACATTACTAAGCAGCAGCCTTTTATGACCATAAGCAACAATGACCAAATCTTTCACAAGAGCTTTCCGCAGCTTATTACTGCTCATTCCTACAGAATCATCTCCATTTAAGTAGTTAAAAAAAAAAACCATCTTCATATGTTTCCAATTATCTTACATAACAATTGCACAATCATGCATCAACTTCACATATTGCTGAACCTAATCCCCAATCATAAATGGGGTTAGGGATCTTGGAGCATCCTTCCTATTCACAGGACCTCAGTTCATATGATTGTAACAAACCTGTAATCTTACAGAGAAGATATGTTAAACAGAGCAGAGCCAAATCATCATATCAGCCAGGAAAAAAATCGACTCAAGGATAGGAAGTATGGCAATATCATTTTGCTGGAGAAAATGCATGGAATACATGAGAGTGTATTTTGAAAGATATATACTGTATATATAGATTAGATAGGTAAGATGTCATTTTATCATGTCATAATCCACAAAAGTTTGGCTTAATTTTCTCATTTTCCTTCACAATCTTTATAGCTTTCTCATTTAAGCCGAGTGTCTATGCATCACCAACTTCATGACATCACTATGACAGGTCTATAGTAGCTACCATTTACAAACTGTAGGCACAGATTTGACAATATAGTGATCATTAAACTCTCATTTTCAATTTCAGAAATCGCTCATAGTTTTAGAGAAAATATATTGTTTCCATGACTTATCAAATTGCTCTTGTATATATACTGTACAATTAAATACAAAAATGCCAGATTAACCATATTATTCACCAATGACTTCTTTCTTCATTTTATTGTTTATTGCTATTAATAATAATAAAAGCAATCAAAACATCTGGCAAGAATTCATACTGAATAAAATTTTTATCTTCTTAAAGTAAATAAGGTATATTTTAGCATCTTATCAACTCAAGAACATTACATTATAGTTGAAAATTAAAATGTAGGTAAAGATAAAAATAAATATTTTCAAAATTGGTACAATATTAAAACAAACAGGATATTGATTGGGTCTTATTTTATTACATATATAAACTATTGTATAATTTTATATTTGAAAAATAATAAGCTATTTTTTAAGACAATTATTAAAAGCAATCTAAAATTATTGATTTTCTAAGAACCTTTGTAATTCTGATTATTATTCAGAATACATGCAATAAAAATTTATTATAATATAAAGCAGGAACTCAGCAGTTATACAGTACCAATAATTCTCAAAACAAAATTCAGCTTTTATATACTTTTTTATAAGTTTAATTTTATAATAATTGCTTTTATCAAATTTTCACTAAAATAAAATAAATCATTATATCAAGAATTTGTAATTTAATATGAGAACATGTTTTCAAATCATTTTATATTTACGTTTTAATATGTGACTCTACTTAGTGTGATGAAATTAAAATATATCGAAGCGTCAGAAAATTTTGTATTTTAAGAAACACGAATATTTAACACACCAAATAATAAAATTTCATAATATAATTGATATATTCTCTTAGCACTTAATTACACAGTGGAGAAAAACTTAAATTCTATTAAGTTATTCATTTTTTTCTATAAAATTCTTTGAAAAATCAATAATACGTAGCCTTTCTCAAATCGAAAATGTTTTGTGTGTTTAAAATTCAATATAAAAACAATAAATAAGAAAAGTATATTTTTGTTATTTGCTTAATCTGATATATATTTTAAGATATTTATTATGTTTATTAGAACTACTTTCTTTAATAAATCTATTCAAAATTTTAAGCAAGTTTTGTTTCTTACTTACATTAAAAATTTTTATTCATTAGTGTCTTCTGATATTTTAATAAAATTCTTTGACAACGTTTGATATATGATTAAATTTTATCTATTCACTTTATTTTACTTGTTTACTTTCTATTTTACTTAATGAAAAGCAGAATTGCTACTATTCTATTTGAAAGACACACCAATTCTAGCATCGTCAGGTTTTTGTTGTTTTGCAAATGAAATATGTAAATTCAGGAGTCTAGAGATTATTTAGCATAATAATTTGAAAATATTTATTGTCCTAAGAAAATTTTTTTCTCGTGTTTAAAAATCAATAATCAATAAATAAAGTCAATAAATTTCAGTAAAAATTTTATTTTTACTGAAATATATTGATTTGTCAAACAAATTGACAAAAACTTAAAATTATTTTTTAAAAAAATAATATAATATTCACAACATTCTTTCTAATTGTTTCTTACATAAATTTTAATAAAAGTTAATTTACATATATTTAATATGACAAAACTTGTCAAATATGCTTCAATTGCCACAGTCTATCCGAGGATATTAGAGACAAACAGGAGACAATAAAATGCCTTTATTTAAAATTATTTTCTTTATAAATTATCAAAATGCATTTTGGCATCGTTTACCTTAAGCCCTCTCAATAGTACAAAATTAATTTGTAAATTGTTTTAGAACCGAAGAGGTCTTAAAGTAAATGAAGCCAAAATGCATTTTGATAATTTAAAAAAAAAAAAACAATTTTAAATAAAGGCATTTTATTGTCCCTATTATCTATTTGACAAGTTTTGTCATATTAAATATTGGCAATTTTTTTATTACTTGTCTTATTTATTCTTTTGAAATATATTTAGAACTTTGTAATTAAGAATTGAAATAAATGGGGGAAAAACACGAATAATAATCAATTATATTGTTTTATTTTCAAACTTAATTTTTTCTATGGTATTTTCTCCAAATAAGAAAATACCACAAATTTTTTGTATCTTCATCCATTTAATTAAAATTGCTTCTTGTTTCTGATATTCCTACAAAATAATATCCACTATCAGATGAATATCAGAATGCTTAAGATAAAACTTTTTTTTATTAAATTCAGTACGTGAACTGGAAAGAAGTCTCCAAAATCTAGAATTGTACGACATATATTTTGTGGTTTTGTTTTTGTGACATTCAATTACTTTATTTTCTTTTAAACCTTCAAATAATTTCTTATAGTTCTGGTATTATCAACTTCTCTCCGTCGGATCATTTAATCTATAGTTCAGGAACTAAACGATTTATTAAATTAAACTTTTGGAAAGTTTTACCGTCGGCAAAGTATACCGTACGAGACGACGACGGTTCGGAACTTCTAACGAATTTTCGGCCACTTAACACAAGATTACGGAAGAAACTTATTTTTTCTCGGAGAGATTAATAAAAACAAAGAGCAAAATTGTGTTTTACACAAAATTTCCTGTTTACTAATCATCATATAATAAATCCAGTTCTCATCAATTTACATCACTTCGATTAAAAAATATCTATATAAATTAGTTTACCAATGACGCGTGGATGGAATATAGCAGAAAACTAAACAAACTGCAATTGATACTTTAAAATCGATTAATGGAACAAAGTTGTGGGAAGATTTATTGAACTTACCCTAACTGGTGTAAAAATATAATAGCAAAATACGTAACAGAGTTGAAGTATGACACCAATGCTATTGACCATGATTACCACAGCATCGTGAACGAACAAACCGTACTGCAACCAAAGGGATGCGCTGGGAAAAGCAATGAATAGTTAGTTAATGGCAAATATCAACATTGGCAATTCTTATAAGTGCAAAAGTTTACCTGACCAGACCGGCAATGAAAGGGAAGAAAGATATATCTGTACTGGAACCTTGTCTCCAGATTTTTAAACAGATCTGCCTGGGAACACAAGCAAAAGATAAGAATATAATCCTTTCAAATTCGTCGACAAGTCTAAATCTATTTAAAGCTACTTACACGCCAGTCAGGAACATTATTATGGTAAAAACCGTGGCCAGATGGCCCACCATAACCTGAAAATTTGTAAATTCTTCCATTTTAAAAATGATTATTTACATCATTTTCATACACGTCATGTTATAAGGCAAGACGAGTATAGTGATCACACGCACGGGAATCGCCGTAACCTCCGATAGGTGGCGCAGGTGTATCTGTGAACTAACGACATTAGTCGCTATCGTTAAAAACAATTAAAAAATAATAATAATTTTTTTTATGATATTAAAGATTCGACGCTTATTAATATTTTTAATTGTATAAATTCATTCATTTGTCCGAGTTAAATGTTTTTTTAAATATCTACTTATTAGAAAACCCTAACAATAATTTCGTATGTAAGCCGATTTCCAAAATCGTTATTCAAGTTGCTTTCTGGATAATGATTACGTGGCCTTCTCAAATATGACAATTAGATACCGGTATTTGTTTTTAATTGTGGACTTGTGAACAGAATGATAAAAAAAAATAAAATTTAATAAATCTGTATGTTTGCTGCTTGGTAAAACGTCCTTTGAATATCCATTTGAAACGGGCACAAATTATTTAATTAATTAAAGCACTATGACACGTGACTTTTATAGCGGACACAGATTGTNCAGTGTTTATTTTTAATTAATAAATTATTATTTTAGTTAAATAACAACAATGATATATATTAAAGTGTTGTGTATTGTGCATGAAAGAATTAAGTTGTTTTATAAATACACCTGACAGTAGAATACATTTAATATTTTATAAACATATATACTGGTATATTGCATAGAATATGGAACTTATGAAACAATTATGCAATTGCAAACCATAATTTTTACTTACATCATGTTACTTATAAATAAAGAGTCTGATATTAGTAATATACGAGGGGAGTCCGATATTGAAGGTATAGGCCAAGATTACACTTAACATTTATAATTAAACAAAGTAATTTTGACCTGTACCTTTAATATCGGACTCCCCACATATATAAGTTATTACTATATATAATTTATAGAGGCTTACCTTACTGATATGAGACTCTACTTACTAAGTAACATTGTTATAAGTAAAAATTATGTTGTAATTGCGTAATTATAAGTTCCATGCAATTAAATAAGTAATAACATAGTACTTTTAATTTAAACAATTTCATTTATGAACCAGCAACATATCTTTGGAGAATGTTGTTTTGAAGAAGAAACAAAAATGTAAGGATTTCTTAATTGAAATTAAAATTCGTTTTAAAGAATGTCACAACATTAAAAAAATAATAATAAATCGTTTTTATAGCATTTAAACTTAAACTTTTGGGTTTAAAAAGAAAATAAATGTAAAGTACCGTTAAAAAAATGCTCTTTGAATAAAAGTGAGTACAGTCGACCCCCCTATAAGATATAGATACGTTCCAATTTATTAGGAATCCGATTTCTTACAAGTCGTTGCAATCACAGCCCGACACGTGTCAAGTTTACGGACTACGGCTGATTGAAAGGTTTTCTTCCATAAAATTAATCGATTCTACACTAATCCGACTCAACATTTCCAAAATACGTATATTTTTTCGTAGTTTTATAGGAATCGTAATTATAGGGACCGTAATTATAGGGGGGTCGACTGTATAACAATGAGTATATTATCTGAAAATGTGAAATAATAATATTTTACCACAATACATTAGTATATTTTTGTTTTTTAATAATTACTGTAATGATATATATTTACTGCAGATATTTTATGTATTTAAAGTTTACAAAATGAAATCAAATTTTATATTTATATTTTTATATTTGTTCGAATCTTTATCATTTATATTTCTACATAAATAAAAATTATATAAAAGGTAACGAATTAAATGAAAACAATAATGTCTTTTATAATTTTAAAAATAAATGTTATTAGTTTACCTGGTGAATAGGCGGGACGACGTCATACTTTTGTTCTCAGAGACGTTTCTATCATTTTGATACGTTTGATAATAATGAGGATGTTTGTTTGTTTGTACCTATATACTTCTAGGCCGTTCGACCAATTGTTACGAAACTCGGTAGTTACATTCAAATACTTCTTACTTAGATAATGTCGTGCATCTCACCCCAAAATATCTGTTGGATTTTTGTAAATCAATTAATTTCTATTTACATTCGATTTTCTGAGTTACACGTAGCGCCATCTATTGGCAAAAAGTTAACAAAATAATTAACTAAATATAATTCTTACAAAAAAGGATATAATTTAAAAATATATATATATGATATTCACTGGATTACTGCGACAGGTAGCACATAGCACTAGTGTTTTGTCCCTGTACATCATACTTTCTTGTTAGCAATAGTCGTGCCCAGTTATGTATCAAACTCCATTCTGGGGATAATTTTTGTATTGAAATAACGTCACTCGCGGTATAAATTGGAAGTTCATATATAGGTAATCTGGTCCTTTTTCTCTTTCGATTTCCATGTTTGGTCTCAACTTTCATCTATCTAATTCTGTTCTCTAGATTAAGGGAGGACAGAGACGGACAGACGACTGGGAATTTATAGCTCTACAGTTTTTAAAAATTGCAGTTCAATAAGTATACTTCAGTAACCAAGTGGATAAAACCATCGAACACCGTTAATCGGTTGTGGGTTCGCGCGTGGTCAAGTGAAGTTTTCTGGGTTTTCTTCGAGTTAGTAACACTTCAATTGGAGCCAACTTTACATAAACGTCTTTCTGGGATGCATCCTCCTCGGCAGATCTCTCGTGTGTCGCGTTGCCGTAACCATATAAACCGAACTAATTCTAACAAGAGATTATTTATTGTGACATCGTCATAATGCCGGGCTGCAACTTTTCGTCACAATGTTCTTAGTTCTTTTAGTGGTGGTCTTGCACCCGTGCGCCATACTTTTCCTGTTAGCAATAAAGTCGTATAGGTCATATATATAACTCCGTTCGGGGAAAATTTTTGAATCAAAGTAACCGTTCTAAACCGAATGTTCGAATATACTGTAGTTAATCTGGGCCTCCTGTCCTAAGCTTTCCATATATAGTCTTGACTTTCATCTATCTAGCTCTTTTCTCGAAATTAAGGAAGGACAGATAGCTAAGGGAAGACAGTGAGATTTTATAGGTCTACAATTTTTTCAAATTTCAGCCCAATAGTTTTTCCATAAACGCAATATTTACGAGAGAACACTTCATGCATATTTTATACAATCTGTTGCCAAAATTCTAAAAAATTTATTATCACACAAAAGCAATTATTCTACCATTTTTACAAGATTTATTTAAACAAATCACACGAATCTTTCGGTCGTTAAGGTTAGCAACTTCGATCAGAATCCATCCAACACGGATCACTTTTCAAATATTCATAGTAGACCAGTATTAATTAGTAGTGGTTGACCATTCTCTCTCACAGGAGGAGGACAACTATTACTCTTTGTCAAATTAACTTCAACCACCATCCGCAGCACCATACCAACCTTAGATTATCTTAGGTTACCGGCTCCGTTTTTCTCCGAAATTTGATTTGTTGACAGATTCACAGCTGAATATCAAACGGTAGTTTGATATTCGGCTGTGAATAGGACAGTAAATCAAATCTGTCAAATCAAACTGTACTATTCACAGCCGAATATCAAACGGTAGTTTGATATTCGGCTGTGAATGGCACAATTTATTAGTTATCATATTTTTTCCTAATGTTATCTTAAAAAGTTTAAAATATATTTTCAATTGGTGTTTACTTGACCAATGAAATTGTGCAATTTCGTACCATCTGAGTATCGCAGTAAACGTGACATTGGTAGGCTGAAATAATCAAACTCTTTATATGGTTTTCGTTTTAATGTTTGTTATATTATAGTATGTAGTATTTGATTTATATAAGTACGAAGGTTATCTTATGCAAGGGTTTATCACACCGAATGATCAATCTAACATTATAAAATTCTTTATTCCTGTATTGTACACAATTTAAAGAATTTTTAAAATGTGTTAGAGTGGTCACTCGATGTGATAAACTCTTACGTAATATAAACCTTTGTAAATATAAATCAAATACTATAATATAATAGAAAGATTAGAAGTACGAAATAACTTTAACGTTTGTTTTTTATTTTTTGCCCGAACAATGCCGGGCTTACCTACTAGTTTGATTTATGTTATGTTCTAAAAATAGATTAAACTTAAATTATTAACATTCAGGATATTTTTAAAAAAATGGCTCGTCATTCATCGCGTTGGGTAAATACAGTCGACCCCCTATAGTACTGTTGATAATTCCGTTTTACAGTATATGAATTCCATGTTGTACGAGTCACTTAGATTTTACNCTATATACTTCTAGGCCGTTCGACCAATTGTTACGAAACTCGGTAGTTACATTCAAATACTTCTTACTTAGATAATGTCGTGCATCTCACCCCAAAATATCTGTTGGATTTTTGTAAATCAATTAATTTCTATTTACATTCGATTTTCTGAGTTACACGTAGCGCCATCTATTGGCAAAAAGTTAACAAAATAATTAACTAAATATAATTCTTACAAAAAAGGATATAATTTTAAAAAACATATAATATATTCACTGAATTACTGTGACAGGTAGCACATAGCACTAGTGTTTTGTCCCTGTACATCATACTTTTCTGTTAGCAATAGTCGTGCCCAGTTATGTATCAAACTCCATTCTGGGGAAAATTTTTGTATTGAAATAACGTCACTCGCGGTATAAATTGGAAGTTCATATATAGGTAATCTGGTCCTTTTTCTCTTTCGATTTCCATGTCTGGTCTCAACTTTCATCTATCTAATTCTGTTCTCTAGATTAAGGGAGGACAGAGACGGACAGACGACTGGGAATTTATAGCTCTACAGTTTTTAAAAATTGCAGTTCAATAAGTATACTTCAGTAACCAAGTGGATAAAACCATCGAACACCGTTAATCGGTTGTGGGTTCGCGCGTGGTCAAGTGAAGTTTTCTGGGTTTTCTTCGCGTTAGTAACACTTCAATTGGAGCCAACTTTACATAAACGTCTTTCTGGGATGCATCCTCCTCGGCAGATCTCTCGTGTGTCGCGTTGCCGTAACCATATAAACCGAACTAATTCTAACAAGAGATTATTTATTGTGACATCGTCATAATGCCGGGCTGCAACTTTTCGTCACAATGTTCTTAGTTCTTTTAGTGGTGGTCTTGCACCCGTGCGCCATACTTTTCCTGTTAGCAATAAAGTCGTATAGGTCATATATATAACTCCGTTCGGGGAAAATTTTTGAATCAAAGTAACCGTTCTAAACCGAATGTTCGAATATACTGTAGTTAATCTGGGCCTCCTGTCCTAAGCTTTCCATATATAGTCTTGACTTTCATCTATCTAGCTCTTTTCTCGAAATTAAGGAAGGACAGATAGCTAAGGGAAGACAGTGAGATTTTATAGGTCTACAATTTTTTCAAATTTCAGCCCAATAGTTTTTCCATAAACGCAATATTTACGAGAGAACACTTCATGCATATTTTATACAATCTGTTGCCAAAATTCTAAAAAATTTATTATCACACAAAAGCAATTATTCTACCATTTTTACAAGATTTATTTAAACAAATCACACGAATCTTTCGGTCGTTAAGGTTAGCAACTTCGATCAGAATCCATCCAACACGGATCACTTTTCAAATATTCATAGTAGACCAGTATTAATTAGTAGTGGTTGACCATTCTCTCTCACAGGAGGAGGACAACTATTACTCTTTGTCAAATTAACTTCAACCACCATCCGCAGCACCATACCAACCTTAGATTATCTTAGGTTACCGGCTCCGTTTTTCTCCGAAATTTGATTTGTTGACAGATTCACAGCCGAATATCAAACGGTAGTTTGATATTCGGCTGTGAATAGTACAGTTTCTTAAAGTTAACATTAGAAAATATTATATCTGAAAAATTTTTAAGATATATTTTCAATTCCTGTCTCCTTGACCATTGAATTGTACCATTCCGTACTATCCGAGTATCGCAATATATGTGACATTGGTAGGCTGAAATAATCAAACTCTTTATATGGTTTTCGTTTTAATGTTTGTTATATTATAGTATGTAGTATTTGATTTATATAAGTACGAAGGTTATCTTATGCAAGGGTTTATCACACCGAATGATCAATCTAACATTATAAAATTCTTTATTCCTGTATTGTACACAATTTAAAGAATTTTTAAAATGTGTTAGAGTGGTCACTCGATGTGATAAACTCTTACGTAATATAAACCTTTGTAAATATAAATCAAATACTATAATATAATAGAAAGATTAGAAGTACGAAATAACTTTAACGCTTGTTTTTTATTTTTTGCCCGAACAATGCCGGGCTTACCTACTAGTTTGATTTATGTTATGTTCTAAAAATAGATTAAACTTAAATTATTAACATTCAGGATATTTTTTAAAAAATGGCTCGTCATTCATCGCGTTGGGTAAATACAGTCGACCCCCTATAGTACTGTTGATAATTCCGTTTTACAGTATATGAATTCCATGTTGTACGAGTCACTTAGATTTTACAAATACATGAGCCGTTCACAGCCCGGCACACGTATTTGTAAAATCTAAGTGGCTCGTACAACATTATTGAATTCATATAAAACGGAATTATCAAGTGTTATAGGGGGGTCGACTGTATTCATCATAAACAAATTCCAAAAATTATTAAATAGTATATTAAATGAACAAATAATAATAGTAAAAATTAATTCTGAAAATCAAAAAACGGTATTTTATTTTTTTCTGTCCGAATTTCCATTTAAATAATTACTAGATTATTTCCATTTCCTCAACTAAGTATAGTATGTGGCTGTGGCTGTGGCTAAATAAGGAGTTTTGAAAAGACATGGCGACAGCTATTCATATGACAACAATCTTTAGGCTCTCTAGGCCTAAATTGCTGATAGCGCCGCCCTGGTGACAGAGCTTGTCCCTAGAAAGGTTTTGGAGGAGAGAGCACCAATCTCATATTCTAGTAATCGTGACTCCGTTTGCAGTTCTCGCCCATCATTTTTTGATTATATGCAGGAATTCTAAATAATCTAACATCCAAAGATTTACTTTTACAATTTGATTGTCAAATTCTTTCGATATTTCCGTGCGTGTTGATGAATTACTGATTTTGAAACCTGCGATTATCAACTCCATCTGAAGAGAGACTTGCTTTTGGTACGTTGTAATAAAACGCTATAATGTTTATTTTCCAAATATTTATTTGACAGGCGAGTGGCGTCAGAATCGTCACCATTGCATGCTGCATTCATATAAGATTAAAGATAAGGAAAGTATAACGTCACATAGTCATCATGGGAAAAAATTTTCCCATGATGACTATGTGACGTTATATTATCCAATCGGAAGTAGCGATCGTTTGTCACTCAGAAGTCGCCGGCCTGAGGAGCAAAAAGTCGCTCTGCTGTTACGTTTAAAGCTGCAGACTTGACGGTGGTGATTAAACAGTCACGTTAAAAAATCTGTGCGCGGTAGCTCTTATTACTAATATAAAAGCCGTCGTCTGTGTGTGAATTCCTTATAACCTCTGCAATCTTTGATCCAGATAAATTTTAGTTATATTCAATATTTCGTTTTACGTTATGGCGAAAAGTAAAGACTAGTTACAGTAGAGCGTCGTTTATCCGAAGGAATTCCAGTCGACAAATTTAAATTTTCGCCAGTGCTGTGGCTCTGTAATCTTTGGCTATGTCTTCGGCTACTCAAATATTTTACTTTTTTGATACTAAATTAACTTCTGAAGTATAATTTTTTATTGTTTTTAGGTTTTTCAATATANTTTAAAAACACTTATTGAGTATTGAATTGGCAGAGGACTAAATAAAAGTCATTGGTAGGAAGCAGACAAGTTGGCATTATGACACGGACAAGTCATTACGAATACAATATGTACACGATATTATGTGATAAACATAAACTAGATTCTACATTTTGTAATAAATCTGTCATGCTTTATCCAGTTTACAGTCTGTTGGTGTGGTTAAATTAACATGGAGTATCGGCTAACGTAAATAGCACTGATCATCTTTCCTCCTCTCTTTTGTAAATTACCCTGGTCTTTGTTTGTTCATTACTACAGCACCATGTTGAGCACATGTGATTACCAACCTTTTTGCTACCACCTGGACAGATGTGTTGTTTCACTACGTTTTGGTGGTGGAGGTGGTGGTCTTTTGATGGCAGCACCGGAATTGCACGTCTCATCGTGAGGAGACTTTTTCCTTGGGTGTCGTGGCTGAGACAGTGAGCGGGACGGACGCTCATAGTGGGAGGGATGATGGGATGGAGGAGAAGTGGGAGACTGCAGCTGATCTGCTGAGGCCGGCGGAAGATAACATGGATCCCTAAATCCCAGGATCTGATGTGGTGTGGCCGAATGATCCACAGATAGCTGCTGGGCGACCTTCCACTTCTTCTCCATCACTCGGTGCAGATCACGAAGAAATGATGCAGGAGGGCAAGTGGATGACGTCTGTTCCTGAGAATGGGACGATGCTGATGATGATCTTCTGACTGGTGTTGTTGTTGTTAATTTTGTCGTCTCACTTCTTTTTGGAGGAGATGGTTTCTGCTGTATTCTCGATTTTCTCCCTCCCGATGCTCCAGAAGATTGAGAAGTGGGAGATTGTGCATCGAGTGATGAAGGGGATTGCAGACTTATACCTCCAGTCCTTCCCTGAAAGTAATTCTGAAATTTTGATTGAACACTTCCTGTAGGGGATGCTTTATTTTGTATAGGACTAATATTATCAGATGGAAACTCATTATCTTCAAATTCATGTGAAGAACTATAACAGTCTATATTAAGTTTTGGTCTGTGTTGAGATTTATGTGCATTATTATAAGTACCCTGTTTTAATTCATTCAAAAAAAGAGATTGATTATGATGAATAGCATCAGCTTCCGATAATCTTCTCTGAATTGCTTGTGAATGTGGTTTTGGAGGTACAGCTGGGGCAGCTTTAACTTCAGGTGTTACAACTAAAATAGTAGATACTTCTTGTTCAGTTAATGGACCATTCCACATCTTTCTTTCTTCCTTTTCTGATTTATCTAATATAGGAGAAGGAGGTGGAGGAAGAGAATTGAGACTTGAGGTACTAGGCCAGCTTGATTCATCATCTAATGGAGGAGGTATAGGTGGAGGAGGTGGAAGAGAATCCAAACTAAGTGTGCTGCTTTTAAAGGCTTCTGGAGGAGGAAGTGGTAATGAACTTGAATCAATTTCAAGAGTTTCTTGTAATTCTGGTGGAGGTGGTGGAAGTGGAAGATCATCAACTTCATTTTCTTTTACTCGACTGTTAACAGAAAGTGAATCTGATGATGGCTTTTTTGACAATTTTTTTGTTATGCAATTAAAAGTAATTCTGTCATCAGTATGAGATCGTCTCAAGCTTAATCGAGAAGCTGCTGCTCTTCCTAAACTTCCTACATTACTACTTCCACTGCTGCTACTACTACTCAAACTAACATTATCTAAACTTACAACATTTAAACTTTCTTCTCCAGACTGTTTAGCAATACTTCTTGTAGTATTAGTAAGAGGAATTTTTGGTGTCATGCTAGGTTTTCTTTTAATTGTACCAATTGGAAAATCTGCTTCAAATGCAATCTGCTCTGCAGTTGGAGTACCAGTACTTGATCGTTCAGACATGCAGCCACTGCTGCTGCTAGTACTGGATTTAATGGAATCCTGACGTGCAATGCTTCCATGACGTCTTGGTTTTTCAAAAGGAGTTGGTGTAGTTGAGGTTGGAGTTGATTCTGAGCTTCTGTTACATTGATTTTCTGAATCTATCACTTCTTGAGTATACTGATGACTAATTCCATTAACAGATGTTAAATCTGGTCTATCTGGAGTTGCAGGACTTCCTGAACTATCAGGACTTACTGTCATTGTTTTGGCCATAGAACAGATTGAAAAACTTCGTGCATGTGCTAATGTATCCAAATCATCTTCAACTATTTCTCGAACTAATGTTTCATAATTTTCTTTAATTTGTCTTCCATACTAAAAAGAATAAAGAATAATTCCAAATTTTTCATTATACTTTCATTATACTTTCATTTTTAATTAAAAAGCAGTTTACCTTTGCTACTCTGATGCCAATTACCCAGTGATATAAGGATCTTTCATCTTCAGTACATAAATACTTGATATATTTTGAAGATTTTGTTTGTATTTGTGGATGCTATAAAATCAAGTTATATGAGTTAATTGGCACAAAAGTGAAACATTATAGCTTTATTGTAAATAAAAAATTACAATTTAGAAAGCTTACTTTAATTGCAAAGCCAAAATCAGTAGGTGCTTTAAATTTTTTTCTCCATCCAAATCCAACATAGACATTATTCATTTCAAAAGTAGTCAAACAGGATAAATCTTTAGAAAACTAAAAGTTTCAGATAAATTTAAAAGTTATTTTATATAATTATTTTGTATATTTATATATTTTTTAGTTATAAGAGCAATTTTCACACAGAGAAAAACTAATTATAATATAACTTGCCTTTGATTTGCCTTTTGGACAATAATACAATCCAGATGCTCTTAAAACAAAAAAATGTTTTTTCCATGCTTTTTTCCCATCACTTTTCAGGTAGAGATGACCTTCAACTTCTGGAACTCCTACACCAGTACTTGAAAAAAATTCCTGTAAATAAGTGAAAATAAAATTATTTAAAAATTCACAATATAGATATGAAAGAAATCAATAACGATATATAAGCAATCAAATTACCATAATTTAAATTACAATATATTCTTTCTGTGGGTTTTCTTCCATACAAGTTAAACAATTTTCTGACACGCTAGTAAATTTGTAAAAACTACAATAAATATACAATATACCAAATACATTCATATCCACTAAGAGCCATTAAACATTTTATGTTCCAACTGTTTGATTACATTCATACTAAAACCATTTTCATCTACTTATTAAGAAAAATTATGTTGTTAGTTAAAAAAAAATCATATTCTAGCATAAAGTACTGTACTAGCTATTATTACTTCCATACATTTTCTATCATATCATTATTCACCAACACTCCAACAGCAGAACAGCCCTCCTACCCTCTATCATGCAAAAACCAATTCCACAATTTATGTATATTTATACAGTTACCTTCATTCATTAGTAACAAAAATTTTTATATCTAACTATCTCTGTGTTCAAACAACTTTCTCTTCATCATAATCATCTAAAAGAAAAGAAGAAAAAGGAAGAGAAGTGGTAACTGAATTAGAGAATCATATATTTGAGAAAATAACTTAATTTGTTCAAAAAGTTTTTATATATAAGAATATATTTAATTAAAATAAAATTGTATTAATCCTTGATCAAGAAAACAAAGTATAACAAGTATTATATAAACTGAGAGCATCAACAACAGCAGAAGAAAAACTTTGCTGTCTTTTTTAGACTATTAAGCTTAGTTCACACTGAGCGCAATTTTCTGGCGAAAGCAAAAAACAAAGTGAATAACAAACATGACTCGTCTGACAGGTTATTCACTCTGTTTTTCGCTTTCACCAGCAAATCATGCTCAGTGTGAACTAAGCTTTACTATATTATACAGACAGAATTAATTGCAAATGTAAAGAGCCATTCCCTTTGGAGAGACAAGAAGAGAGTTATGAGAAAGAATTAAAGAACATGCCAGAGCAATAAAGTATGATTACAAGAACTCGAGTTTTATTCATTGTGTGATGAATGTGCATGTCATATTAATCTTGATACGTTAAAGGTAGTTTTGATACAATCTTGATACATTTAAAGAATGAATATAATGAAGAGGAAGTTGTTTGAATACATATAGTTAGATGAAAAAATTACTACTACAGTAAGATCCCGCTTAACACTGCCTTGATTAATGCTGATTTGATATAACACAGTCCGCTCGAAGCCTGAAAAAACCTCAAAATTTATGCTGATTCAAATTATCACAAATTATCACAGCACTTCATTGGTTATTCCCAAACACAAACCAATCAGCAAAAGGTGGCAATTCGTCATAGTGCTGTACTTAAATCTATGTTTGTTTGGTGCAATTTTAAAAAAAATATAACATCATGGATGCTATTGGCAATATCGACTTCATTCGGCAAGAATTAACTGATAAATGCATGAACGGAGTGTGGAAAAAGTTGACTAAAGGTATCCAAGAATTCTCAAAGAGAAGAGCCTAATCGATACAGCAGGATTTGGAGATGTAGATGAGCAGGATATTGAGGAGTTACTGCAGGTTTCTGGTGAGAGCCTTACCATCAATGACCATCAAGAACTGGCAGAACAAGGAATCCATGTGAACTGGAAAATACTGATTCTGAAAATGAAAAACCCAAAGAATTTCTATACAGGTTTCCTTAGTAAAAGTTTGGTAATGAAAACCAAAATCATTGATCGAATTGTAGCAAAAGCAAAACAAGGCATTTTGGATGCAATCTTCTGCTACCAACATTTGCTTCAGGAAAGAAAAAAGCAACAAATAAAACTATGCGACTTTATGGCAAAAACAAGAATTTCAGAAGAGCCAGGACCTTCATTACAAAAAAATGAACTTTACATTTCTGTGTGCGTATGTTTGTGTTATTTAACATACAGTAGAGTGTTGTTTATCCGAACCAATTGGGGACTGGGGTTGTTTGGATCCAACCAATTATGTACGAAAAAATATATTAACCTATCCCATGTTGAAATTTTTCTCCATTGCATGTCGCTTTGCGTTGAATTTTCATCAATGTTAAGCCTAATGTAAACTTTTTAAAATAATAATTTTGCAAAATAAAGAAATAATTTTATTGAAAAATATAAAAACAAAAAAAATTATACTTTAGAAGTTAATCTAGTATCAAAAACGTTTGATTCAGCATGACACACAGTCCTCAGAAAAACACCACACAAAAGTGCCAGTGCTGCCAGATAAAACACACACATAAAAAAAAAAATATTGGAGTAGCCCAAGATATAGCCAAAGATTGCAGCGCCACAGCACTAATGAAAATTTAAATTTGCCTACTGGAATTCTTTCGGATAAACGATGCTCTACTGTATATTATTATGCAAATCAATATAAAAATAATTTAAAATTCAAGTAAAATTTGTTTATTTTTGATTGCATGTTTCCCTTTCCCTATTTACTCTGTTAAATGACCTCATTTAACACTGTTTCATTTAGCACTTTGTCATCTAGGAATGCATTAACTTACTGTAATGATTTATGTACTAATGTACTACATAAATCATGGAATTGGTTTTTGAATGATAGCTGAACACCACCCTCCTGCTCTCTGTTGGAGTGATAGAGAATATATGAAAGTAATAATGAGCAATTATTTATTGTGACATCATCAAAATGCCTGGCTGCAATTTCTAATCACATTTTTAATTTGTTTAATTTAAAATATATGTACATCAGACATTCATATATAGTTAATTGGAGACTCCTGCCCCTAAACTTTCCATATCTGATCTTGCCTTTCACTTATCTAACTGTTGTCAAGATTAAGGAAAGACAGACTGAAGACAGTGAGAATTTATAGCTCTACAATTTTTTCAAATTGCAGCCCAATGAGGACCATGCATAATGTGAAAATGCAAGCTCTTTTGTGAATTTTAAAGCTTCAAATTTTTTTTATTTCCCTTCTTCCTGGAGGTTGAAATTAGACCTTTTACACTTTCAAATACATTTCGGACGACAGATAAGGTTCTCCCTCGCGACCAGGGATTATTCATTTCCATCTTCAATACGATCTACAAATAACTAGTCAATTAACAAGAACCTAAACTTGTTACATGACAGAGGGTAGCAAAAAGGTCACTGATAAGGGGAGTCCGAATCAAACAAACACACACACTTCCTATTTCATCTGATTTTAACATTGATAAAACCAATCAGATGACACACCAAAATGAACAATTATTACTAAGGTTGCACTACATACCCTGACCTTAGCCACCACCCACCACCAGCAATTAAGTCTGTGAGTTTGACAGCTGTTATCAATTTTATGAAGCTTCATGCACCTGAAGCCAGACTGCTCAGAACTTGATCGCCACAGCATAAGAGGTAATTACTTAGAGAAATTAAAACTCTCTCTCTCTCGGTTATAAGCTAGATTAAGGTTAATTTAACTTAAAGAATTTTAAGACTGATAAAAGGTCCAGAACTTAGACATTCTATTGAAAAGAACAAAGTAATCATTGTTGCAACCTAGAATTTTTCACTATTTCCATCTTTTGTATCTATTTGCTTTGTATAATTTTTTAGTTTATTAAATATATTATTCTTATGTTTAAATATGTGTCATCCTTGAGTACGGCCAACCTCACTAACCCTCCCATTCATTTAAAACATATGTCATCCCCTGACAAAGAAGCCAATAAGTGGGGACAAGCTCACCGCTCAACCTCACAATAACGAAATACTGTTTACAAAGGAATACAGCTAATACTGTTATTTATATTAGTTTTAAGATTAAATAAAACTAAAATATTCTGTTTTTTAAAAAAATAGATGAAAATGGTTTCAGTATGAAAGTAGTTAAACAGTTGGAACATTGAAATTGGAAGACAAAATGTTTAATAGCTTTTAGTGTGATTGTGTATTTATTGTATTTTTTATGTATTTACTAGTGCATTGAAAAATGGTTTGTATCTTGTTTATAGAAGAAAATCCACTGAGGAGGGAAATATCATAAAGTTGTTGATTGGTTGGTAATTATGTGTTTGCTGATTTGATCATTTCTAGAAAATTACAGTATTTTGACCATTTATATATTGGCATTGAAGATACAAAATGGAAGCATAGTATAGATTACAGATTATAATTAAAGAAATAATTTTTTTAATATTTCATGATCATCATCAAGATTTATAAATTAACACTTTTACCTCTAAAAGAGTAATTTTTCCTTCATCATCCAGTTCAGCACCTTTTTCAGATGAACTACAACTTAATAGATAATCCTAAGATAAAAATTTTTTATTAAGATTCTTAAAATGAAACTCAAAATTAGAAATGTTTTCTATTATTTGCATATTATTAAACATAGTAAAATTTAAAATAATATTGATATTACAATAATCTACCTTATCTAAAGTTATATAAATTTATCAATAGATTATTTATAGAGACATAAAACATTACCGAAACCTGATCTTAGCAAATAGACACCCAATAGATTATTTAACTTTATAATTAGTATTAAATTACTTTAAATAATAAAAGTTTATTTTAATATGTAATTTTTTTTCTGTACTTTAAAATTAAGCTGCCCAGGAAAATAATGGTAAATGCCATCATCAATTATTGTCTTTGCCCAGGTGTGATTTCTCGCGGCTCTTGTTCTTATTACATCATCATGAAATTAGATTGATTATAAAACATTTTCAGTAAAAATTGATGTTAGAATAAAATTATTCAGATTTATGATTCAGTCACAATTTTATTTTTACTGTATTCTAAAACTTCCATTTTGGCATTTACCATTTGCTTCCCCTGAGAAGTTCAATTATTCAATTTATGTTCTAATTACTTGATTTTAACAGTAATTCAACTTAAGAGTTAAATTTTTTTTTACTTTAAAAATTACATACTGATTATAAATTTTGTTACAAAAGAGTTGTTTCATTGCCAAAAGTTTTTAAAATACTTTTTATTTAAAAGACCGTTTATTAAAATACGTGAAGATTTTAATTGGTTTTGCAATTAATCAAAATATCAAGAATGCAGAAGTTTTAGTTATTCATTCAGTAACATTTATAAAGTTTCAGATTTGTTGATATTAATTAGTTTAATAACATCTTAAAAGCAAAAAAATTTCAAATTATTATTGTATATCTTAAGTTTCTTAATTTTGATATTAAAAGAATTAATTAATCAAATAACTGTTAATTCTATTTCACTTCTGAGTGTTTCCATGCTTCAAAAATGTCATCTTTTATATCATCTGGTAATTTAATCTTTAGGAATATTAATAAAAATTTTTAGGTCAAATTTTTAAAACAATGATCAGATATGAATCTGGTCAGGAATAAAGCTGAAAAAATATATACATGAACTCACAATTTAATTTACAGTGTATTCCGCTTAATTGGGATACAAGTTAATCGGGGTAGCCATTTTATTCAGCCAAACTAATAAACTAATACGTAATTTAATCGCTTAATTGGGACAGTAGCAGAAAAGGAATTTAGCAATTTTTGATATATTTTAGTAATCTTCCAAAAATATGTAGGCACTACATACACTAATGTCATGTAGGCCTAATGAGTGGCAGAGACAAAGAGATTTTGTCTTGCTCAGGCAGTTCAGTTTTTCTGGAGGGGGTCAGCATAGCAGGATGCATCACACAAGGATTTTGTCTGAGGCAGGCCTGAATATGAGCTACTGACCCTGCTCTGGATTGGACCGAATAATCCCCTTTTAAAAGTGAAGGAACAAAGGTCGCCAGACAATTTTTTGAGGTCTCTCAACTGAGTTGGAAGACAACTAAAGTTCCCTTGGAAGGTATTGCATGCATGATTACATCCAGATTCAGACAGCAGCCATCCGATTGTTGAGACCAGCATTGAGCTGGCAGATTCTATGGACACTCCTGCTGAAGTGGCCCATCTCCAAGTAAAGGAAACTGTGCTCAAAGGAAGACTGTAAAATGACTTTTGGATGAACCCTTTTCTTACTCCCCTTTTAGTTAGAACATGATCTAACTAAAAAGAAAGAAAGAAAGGAAAAATTGTTCAATCAGGGACAGATCAAATGGTTAACCCTTGTTCACATCGCTAGTAATATTTTGCAACACTAGCATTATGCGAATCAGTTATCATCGTGAGTCTGGCAAATTTATAGTACAAATATTTTCTGTATTTTGGTTTAAAATAGGTACCTAATTATTACTTTTTACCTATGTATTACATATTTTATTGTACAATTTATTATTAGTTCATTTAATTGGGGCAGCTGCTTATTGGGCCAAAATGAATTAATCCCAATGTATCCCAGTTAAGCAGAATGCAATGTATTTAATTTTGCAGGTCTATATCATTTTAATATAAAATATTACAGAATTATCTGTTTAAAGAGCTTCTATTTTTTAATTATATATTTTCTCTCCTGTATTTATCATACCATATATCAAAACAGGCATGATACAACAGTATATACATTCTCTTACTGACTTTAAACCAGCAATTCTTTTTAAATTTATGATCTTTATTAATTCACAAATGAACATTTTACTGTGTTTATTTGAATCTAAGATTTATGTTAATTTCTTCATGCTAACTCAAGACAAATTTATGACGACAGAAGTGTTTCTGTTGACGTAAATTTGTTTAATATTTTTTGCAAATAAGTTTTATTTCACTGTCTTCTATGATATCAAAATCCAGAAACTTCTTCATTCATCATGTTAGGCTCTTCTAAACCATACTAATGTTGTTTTAGTCACACAACAACAAAACCTAATACTGAGGAATGTACCTGAGTTTTAGTTTTAGTAAATTAAAACTACAGTAATCAACCATGAATTTGATGTTTACATCTTCCCACATGAAATCATATGTTGGTGCCTTTTAAAGCATCAGAAGTGCAACATTTTCTTGAAAGAGTGCTGCACAACTTTTTCTGGGAATTTCATCTACTTATGACATTACTGTAATAGACTAACAAAACTGAGCTCAGTTGACCTCTTAAATATTAAAATGGCACAATGGAATTAGTTACAGAAAAATAAGACACAAGGCACTTGATGTCACTAATTACTTATGTCACTTATGTCAAACTACATTGAATCTAAGATACCCTATTTTCAGACATACCAAAACCTAAAACAAAATTACTCTTACATTAGGGTAAATACTGTGTATTGATGAAAATCATGAATTAACTAACTTAAACACGATACATAGAATCTATAAAATATTTTAGTAGTGATTGAAGCAATTATTGGGTTGTTTGGAAAGTAATTTTGTTTTTTTATTACTAGAGGAATTAGATGTATTTTTACCAGCCATTTTCATTATATACTTTGATAGCTGACATTTTAAGGCTTATTTGTAAAAAACTTTGAAAAAAAAAACAATTGTACAGAATTAAACAGTCTCCCATTAAATATGGAAAATCGAAAGCATCCTTTTCAGCATATTTTGCCTTTTTATTACCAAAAAATCCAAATGCTGTTCAAGCAAGAAAAAAATTGTGGTACATGTATGGAGATGTGTTGAAAGAAAGACAGTGCCAAAACTGGTTTACAAAATTTCGTTCTCGCAATTTCAAAATTAAAGATGTACCATGTACTGGAAGGCCAGTTGAAGCTGATGAAGACAAAATAAAGGTATTGATTGAAGCAAACTGCTGAATTACAATGTGAGAAATCACTAAGAGATTAAATTTGTCAAATTGAACCGTTTATGATCACATGAAATGACTTGGTTTTGTTTCAAAGCTTGACATATGGGCTCCACATGTTCTTAAAGAAAGATTTGCTCCTCAAATGTCAAGAAAAAGATTCATTTTTGAAGTGAATCATAACTGACAATGAGAAATGGATTCTTTACAACAATATCGAATGCNTAAGTGTAGACCCATTAGAATGATCACTTTTAAAAATGATTGATGCTTTGGTGGAAAGCAGAGCAAAGAAAGGATCACTGTATTAATTGAAGCATATTTGACAGAAAGTGAAAAGTTGAAACTGTTAGTAATCAGAAAAAGCAAAAATCCACAATGTTTCAAAGGGATGAAGTCTCGATCACATGAAATGACTTGGTTTTGTTTCAAAGCTTGACATATGGGCTCCACATGTTCTTAAAGAAAGATTTGCTCCTCAAATGTCAAGAAAAAGATTCATTTTTGAAGTGAATCATAACTGACAATGAGAAATGGATTCTTTACAACAATATCGAATGCAAATGATTTTAGAATAGAAGAGATGAGCCAGCTCAAAGCACTTTGAGAGCCAATATTCATAAAAAAAGTGATGTTCTTTGTTTGGTGGGATTTCAAGGGAATTTCTTTTTGAGCTTCTATCAGAATTTGACAATTGATTCGAAAGTGTACTGCCATCAAACAGAAAAGGCCAGAATTGATCAACTGAAAAGGTATAGTGTTTCACCATGATAATACCAGACCTCACACAAGTTTGGTAACTTGTCAGAAGCTGTTACAGCTTGGATGGGATGTGCTACCACACCCACCATATTCACCAGATCTAGCACACTTGGATTATTACTTGAAATGAGGATGTAAAAATCACTTGGATCAGTTTTTGTAAGCAAAGATCAAAACTTTTATGAACGTGGAATCATGCTACTACCAGAAATGATGGCAACAAGTATTTGACCAAAATGGTTGATATATAATTCAATAAAATATTTATTTATTATAAAAATATTGTTTTTTAAATATAAAAATATTGTTTAATTTTGTTTTTTTTTTCCGTGGAAAAAAAAAAACAAAATTACTTTCCGAACAACACAATATTTTTATCATATTTAACTCAGAGCTGAGCAGTGTTATTACATTCAGTAATTTAAATAAAATTATTATAGATATAGATATAATTTGAGTTTTTTGTTTACATTCTGATTTTCATGTTCATTAGACATATTCTTAAAGACAGCTAAAAACAGTAGAACGTTTTATTTGTTTCTTTGTTATGAATTTTTGCATTGTATACTGCTCTTTCAGCCAGAAAATATAAGTAAATTTTCTTCTAAATAACATAGTGAAATTTCTATATAACAAATTTTAATGATAAATAGTTCTTACAAATTTAAAAAAAAAGTCAAATACTCCATCTGAGTTGAGTTTGATACCTGAAATTCAATCTATAAACCCTTCATAAAACTGTGGTCCAGGTATGAGAAATACAAGTTGTTAGATTTTAAAACCATCATATAATCTGCTCCCCATGTGGCTACTGGTTGTAAAAAAGAGAGAGACGTTATCTGTCAATGGGTACATT